TAGGTTCCTTATGCCAGTGAGCTTGATCTTTGGAGGAGGGGAGGAAACATTTTTTTAAAGGTCAGGTTGAAAAAAGTCTCGATGCACTTGCTGTGCTGCCCACTCTTGCCATTTGGTTTTGGTGCTGATTTTAACACCTTTAACAATCTCAAATAAAGCTGAGTTATTCTGACACTGGGTTAAGTCCTTGGGGATGATCCTAGCAGTGGGTGTTATTTCTCACCGAGGTGTAAGAGCCTTGCTACACGCTGTATGTGTGAACTCTGAACATTTAACTGAATGGTATGAGTCTGCTGTGTTAAGTTTTCTTTCTATCCAGAAAGTCCAACAGTTCATCATGGTCGAGGTTACTGTGGACTTTTCCGTTGGTGACATGGCCCATCTGTGCCCAGGTCTAGCAACATAATGGGCAGTTGGGGAAGAAGGATAGTCCTTTGGAAATAAAAACAAAACCAGTGCTATTAGTTTAACTTGGAAATGAAGGACAGTGCTGGAAGATAATCTTAGATTTCAACTGACCTGGGTTCTGTCATTTTGAATATGAAGAGAGCTGAGACCCAGTGAAGTGAAGCGACTTGCCCAAGTTTACTTGTGTAGCTTGGGCAGATCATGCACTAGCAGCAATGTCTCCTGTCTTGCAGGACTGGACCACATTGGCAGCCCCACATCCAAAAGGTCTATCTTCCCATTTGGCCAAATGGAAAGGGATTTCACTTCTATTGAGAAACCTTTCAAGGGAAGGAATAAGCGATGCCCTTGGCAAGCCATGCCGGGATTTCACAGCCTTTCCCACTGGGGATTTTTATGTGCTATTTTTGTCCTCCAACCCCACTCTGCAAAATGCCACTGCCTATTACTTCCTTTGAACAAATAGGGATTTTAATCATTCTCTTTTTACTTGATTTTAATCCTCCAAAGCCCTGCTCCCTTTGCCAGTTAACGTGCAGAAACTTCACTTGCAATGAAAGTCATACTTCTCTTGGTAGCCTGGCCTTTCAGCATTTTAAGAAGCTAAGTAGCTCCATCCTCATTAAATTAGACTCAAATTGGAGAACAGAATTACATACTTAAACAACACAGACGCAAAATGATGGATTAATGTTATACCTAATGTAACACATCGTGACATGCAGTAAGAGCATTAGACCAATTAGCGAGCGAGTCTTCTGCCCGGGTTCATCTTTTCTGCCGGGTATGGAGCAAAGGGATAGTGAATTGAAGGATGGCATTTATCAAATGCCCTTGGATAGAAAGTTTCCGCTTTAGTAACATGACCTGCATTCATTTAACAGACAGCGCCCCATCGCCTGGAAACACAGCAAAGAAAGTGCTACACCAAAAGTGCTGCCTCCAAATCGCATTTACACATCTAACTTTATTTCTAGAAATCATTGAAATCCATCACCAACTGTGTCTCAGTTGGAGTTAATATGTTCCAAAAATATATCCTGCCCTCTTCTTGAAAGCTACCAAATCATAAGTGATAGAGTTTAGCAGGTTTGTTGATTTGGGATCCCCCATTCCCCCCACCTTTTTTGGTCTTGCTTCCCTATCAGTCTGATTGGTAACAGAAAGGAGAGGTAAACAATAAATCTCCCCCTTCCTCCTGGTGTGAATGCCCAAGATACTGTCAGAAACAAAATGTATGGGGAGGTGGGGGGAAGTAAGGTCAGCCACTTTGGGGGAGGAGATGGTTTTCTGCTGTGGTAAAGCAGAAAAACCCTGTCACCGAGTTTAAATTAACAGAATCTGCCCAGAGGGGAGCCATGGTCTTTGTGTGGCTGATTAATGTCAGCCTTGTAAATGCAGTGCTCCAACAACAGGGCTAGCCCGCTGAGCAGACGCCGGCAGAAGACGGCACCCCCTGCTTGGGGATCTGAGCAGAACCCCGTGCCTCTGGAAAAGGCTGGATGAGAAAGCTGGAGACCGGGAATGCAGGAGATACTTTTAATGAGATTTCAGCTGTCTGTCCCAGGGAAGGAAATGCAGGCAGCCATTTAAAGCACCTTCCCTTCGGGCCTTGCAGCCCCAGAGAGCAGCACTGTGCAAATCCAACCCCTCTCTCCCAATTCACCTGTTTCAAGCACCACAGCTTTCAGGACAGTAAGTCCAAAATTACCTCTCGAATGATCTTCAGGTGTGAAGAGGAAGCATCTCAGGGGGCATATCTTAGATCTTTAAATGGATTGAGCAAGAAGCCTGGGGAAAACAGGACTCTGTTTGTCCCTGGTGCATACCTAAAGAATGCTGGTGGCACCAAGCAAATCCATCAGTCCTTGGTTTATGTGTCAATAAAGTGGGTTTTGTAGTTGTCAGCAGATGCTCTGAGGAAAGCCCCTGCATGGATTTCGTGCCCCATCTTATTACTGGTGAGACTGCTGTACCATATGCTGGGGGTGGAAGTTAAATCCACAGGGAATGTATGTGAGTTGAAACCCTATGTGGTGGATTTATGTCAATCACTGATATGTTTACATAAGTTCATTTTTGTGACCTTGAGAAGTGCCCTGAGACCATCCAGTTAGTCAAGGCAGCTCCCGGGGCATGCATCCAGCTCTGACACCCAGGCAGTGAACTGTTTTTCAGGTACAATTTCAATCACCTCCACAACCCTCTATGCATTTACCCCAGGGATTTGTGCTAAAGAATTTAATCTTTCAGACACTCTAAAAATAGCCAGAAACCACCCCTGAAACATCTGCTCTGGGGCCTTATTTGTGGAGAAGAGAAAAACCTTTTATTTCTGAATCCCACCATCTATGAAATCAGAGGTTGTTGTTTATATATCATAGGGTGGTTGCTTTGAGAGATAAATTTAAGTAAATGATGAAACTTTGGAAAAAATGGACTCCCTGGAATGGAATCAAGAACAAGCTCTTAGTGTTGACCTTTTGGCTAAAACCACATAACGCAATTTATGTCATCCCCTCTAGATATATGATTTTATTGGTTTGCTGGGAATTTTGGCTTAAGGGAAATGTGCATTGGGCAAGTTACTGACAAATGTCCGTCCCCACAGTGAGGTGTTAAGATAGAAAACAGCACAGACTTAGGCCCTCTCCTCTAAGGGCTTATACTAGAGGTCTATGGTTCGCAAAAGCCATTTTCAGGTGTTGTAATAGCTAACCTCATGATTGATGATTGCCCTTATTAAGAGCATTTGGGATCAAAACGGTGCTTTTTCAGCTACAAAGCAATTAAATTTTGCTCCTTATAAATCTTAACTACCAGCAAATTGGAGGTTTATAAACCATTTTGAAGTGCTGAGATCCTCTGATAAAAGCAGGTAAATCAGTCTTCAGAACCAGAAGTAAACCCAGTCATCAGTCACTGATTTGCTGGTTGTTAATGGACGTTTCCTTGTTGATATGTTTTAGCATTCATATATATGGAGATAAAATTGTATTTTGGTGTCTAAGTGCATTTCTTTACATTGTAGAGCTGGAACTCCCCCTCTGACTAGGTCTTCTCCCTTCTTTGATGGCGTGCTCCGGGCTCACTGGCCATTGGATTTCGTTTACATTCCCTCATGATCTCATCCATTCTCCCGGCTCTGCAGGCTCTCTGAATGCTGATGACCCTCCAATGTATTGCTCCAGCTTGATCCTGTCTGATCTCCATCCTCCTGTACTAACTTCCTACTTGAATCTCCACTTAAATATAAAATGTCCATCCCAAATTGAATTTGCCCAAAATAGGGCTCCTGATCTTCCGTCCAAATCCTCATCCCCTTGCATTCTCTCCATCTCAGCTGATGGTCACTCCCTCTCTTCACTTGCTCAGACCAAAACCTAAGAGTCTTCCTGGAATGTCCTTTTCTGTCACATCCCATATCTTGCCAGTTCCTCAATCAGAAAACAGTCTTTTCTCATCACTCACGTGTTCAGACTAGGCCTGGGACCAGGCCAGCTCTCCCTTCTCACCTCTTTCACCATGGCCCCTGGGTTCTAGCTGCCATCTCACACACCTGCATTCCTGCGGAAGCCTCCGGCTGGTCTCCCTGCTTTCCCCCTCATCTGCTCTTCATTCTGTTCACAGGCAATATCATGAGTGATGGGTCTTGTTAAAATCTGAAGGCTATCACACGACTCCCCACCTAAGCCCCTCAGTGGCTCGCCACCTTACCACCCCCCACCCCCCACCCCCCCCCCCCCCCGCGGGATCTGCTCACTGATCTCATCTTCTCTTTCTCCCTTCCTGACTCTGGTCACACTGGGCCTCGTGACAGTGCTCCTCACACACGGCAGAGGGATGCCCGGCTCAGGCCCTCTGCCCTTGCGGGGGCCTCCGCCTGGGTGTTCTTCCCCCAGCTCGTTGCACTGTTCACTCCCTCCTCTCCTTTTGGTTTTCACTCAGATGTCAAGGTCTTCTCTGACCACATTTACAGTTACCACCCTTCCTGCCATCCCCCAAATGCTCTCTCCCCACGGCACTCCTCATCCTCTCCCTTTTTATGGCTTTATTTTTTTCCCTTTTTACTCTGTAACATGCCATTTATTTTTATTCTTTGTTGTTGTTGATTTCTTATTTACCCCACTAGGATGTAAAAATTTCCACGGGAAGTGTTTGGCTCTTCTCCATTGATAGACTCTCTAGTATCTAGAATAAACAGTGCCTGAGAGATTTTAGAGAAACATTTGTGGAAGTAATTGATTAATTTGTATTTGTCTTTCTGTGGCATGTCTTTTCACCCTCGTATCTATTAGCATCTTAAATTTGTTTCCTTCAATATATTAGCAATGTCCAACTATTTCTGATATTTGTTGCCAATATTTTTATCTCCTTACTATTTAATTTAGTTGTATATAATTTACAAACTGAAGTTTACATCTTTGTAGGACCAAAGCCGTGGGTTTCTATAGTTGCTTTTTCTTTGTGCAGTCCTTCGAAAGTAAGCACAGTCCTAATATTCTGGAGCAGAGTATTTCTGCTCCAGAGTATTTCTGGAGAAAGTGCGCCAGGCCACACTTTCTGCGCTCACATCCTCGCATCTCCCGCAGGCATCAACAGGAAGGTTGTGTACTCCCTGGCCGACTCGGCCGATGGCTTCTTCTCCATTGACGAGTCATCTGGCATCATCATCCTGGAGCAGCCTCTGGACCGAGAGCAGCAGTCCTCCTACAACATCAGCGTGCAGGCCACCGACCAGAGCCCTGGACAGGCCCTGTCCTCTCTTGCCACTGTCACCATCACTGTCCTGGACATTAATGACAACCCCCCTGTGTTTGAAAGAAGGGACTACCTGGTGACATTGCCTGAAGACACCTCCCCTGGCACCCAAGTCCTTGCCGTTTTTGCCACCAGCAAAGATATTGGCACGAATGCTGAGATTACATATCTCATTCGTTCTGGGAATGAACAAGGGAAATTTAGGATCGATCCAAAGACAGGTAGGTAAACGGCAGCCTACTTAGAATTCAAGGCTTCATTCTGTCCTGCTTCATCTCCTAACCCCTTAACCACTTTGCTTGGCAGGCTCTTTTCCTCCTGTTATTTTCTTTGCAGCAGAAACAAGTCTTCTTAAAGCACGGCCTACAGGCAGGCCCCAGAGTGCCCTCTGGCATTCTGCTTCTAAGGATGCCCCTGCTGAGCTTGAAGCTCCTAGCTGTGGATTCACTTGGCAGATGCTTGACCCCCAGGTTGTCTGAAGGGTTCCCCACAGGAAGGTTGGGGAGCAGTAATGCAGTTCCTAGATGGGGGAGGGGAAGTATTCTTTGCACACTGTGCACAAGGGTTTGTTTTTTTCTCTATTTTTTTCCTGTGTGTTGCTTTGTTTTCTAACTTGGATCATGTGTTTGCATGTTGGTAAGCGCTCCTGGAGATTAGCGTTCATTTGCCACCGTCCACACTCAGGCTGCCACCCTCTGTTCACCTACCAAGGCAGACATCGATGAGTGATCTGACAATGACCTATAGGCCTTCTCAACCCAGCCCTCCAGTCAGGTGGAACTGGCACTGTATTTGAGTCCTGTTCCCTGCTCCTGGTCACTACATTGTCATTTCTTACCACATGCTTTTCAAACCATAGGGGAAGATGTGACATTTTCTAGAGAAAAGATGCTTAGAAAAAAACCAAGAGAACCCCCTGGGCTTTCTCTTCATCAAAGACTTAATAACTATTAGGGATAATTTGGGTAAATAAAGATGGCAATTTAGAATGTGCGCTTAGATGTTCTTTGAAGAGTAAACATATTTACCCTTGTATTTTCATACAGTGTTTGTGTTAATATTTCCAAAGCACTTTTGTGAATTTTCTCATTTGTTTATTCCCCTATGAATAGGCAAGGTAGTCCTGTTTGGTAGAAAAGAAAATCGAGTCTCTCACACCTTCTGGCCATTGGGCACAATTCCCTCATTACTCAAGGAACATGTACTTGTTGAGCAAGGTGGCAAAGGAGGTCCATTTGGATAGTCCAGTAAATACAAAGAAGAAACCATCATAATTAGCATACTTAGCAGTGCTCATTTAACACAGCAAATGCTCCAGGTTCCTATTAAATCATGGGTTATTTCTCACATTTTCCATATTAGAAAAACAGCTTCAGAGAGGTTAAATAATTTCTCCAATGTCCACTGTGAATAAATAGAGGATCTAGGATTTGAACTCAGATCTTGCTGACTTTGGAATAAATGCTTAACATCTAAATTACACTGCTATGCTGTGGAGAGTACCAAAAAAATGAAGGAGATACAGTACCTGCCCTTAAGTATAGGGAGGTGGAAATATTGATGAAGGAATTACATTAGTAGCTCCTCCCAGCAGTAACTCTGTTTATTAAGGTCATTACTTCAAATTAAAATGTACAGAAGTTTTCCTCATTTAAATATTTGTTAGCCTTCACCTGTCTCATTATGGCTATTGTATATGAGAACCATGGGGAAATGGTTAAGTACTGTTTAAATTTGGCACTGGAGAATAAGACTGGGGTACAACATAAAATGCTAAGGGTGATAATTGCTAAGACAACTTAATTATGGGGAGAAAAAGACTCTTGTTACAAGTATGACTTCTGTTTCTCACCTTAAGTAGAAGGGTAGCCTTAGCTCCTTCTACTGTGAGTGGATGTGACACACTCACCTTGGTCCTACTGATTGTTTCTCAGTAACCAGTCTTCCAGTAGCCAATTGCAGGATGAAGGAAGGATTGGGTTGCCACACCAGAAAGGGCTTGGATGGGAGGGAAGTAGCTCATGGGACTTCTCCGAAGGGGGGCACCCAACTAGCTGCTTTCACCTATTCTATTTGCTTAATTTAAATATATCTGTGACATGAGCAGGATTGCTGTTCTGTAGTTGTGGACACTGAGCTCACACTATTTGGCCAGTGATTCCCAGGTATTTTCTCTTCCATTCGGTCACTATACCTTCACATTTCTGAGATCTTTGCCCTCTTTGTGTCATAATAGCGTTAGATAAGCGCAGAAAGCAAAGGCCAGGAACACAGGAGATTTTCTAATGAGAGTCCAGCTATCTAAAAGTATTCATTTGCTGACCTGGGCAAGGGGTCATACACTTGCACCCACACATCTTGGCTCATTCTCAGTCAGCCTGAGTTCACTTGAAAAATCATCATGATGCACTTACCAGAGCTATTGTTCCTGTCCCTAGCTGCATGAGGGTGAATAATGCCAGAGGCTGTTAGGCTGCTTGAGAGAAGTTCAGGAACTATTAACCAAAGCATGCAAACACTTAATTTCTTCAGTGTTTTGTCAGATGGATAGCTATATGTCAACTGACAGCATTAATCAGACCCAGCAGGGAATTAAATAAACAAATTCCTGACTATCTAATATTCTTGGCTGGGGATGATGTTATATTTCCATGATTATGGAACTGCTGACCAATGTTTTCTCCTAATCAAATCTAAAGCTCCCCATTTTCCTTCAAAGGGGGTATATCAGTCTCTGACGTCCTGGACTATGAATTATGCAAAAAGTTTTACCTGGTGGTGGAAGCTAAAGATGGGGGCACCCCAGCTCTCAGCGCCATGGCCACGGTCAACATCAACCTCACAGATGTGAATGACAATCCTCCCAAGTTCAGCCAAGACATCTACAGCGCTGTCATAAGTGAAGATGCCTTGGTTGGGGACTCTGTCATTTTGGTAGGTGCCAGTGGGAGGCCCAGATGTCTGGGACTAACAATCCTCAAAAGAGTGAAAAAGTGAGCAAAGTCTGCCTTGGGTTCTCTCCACACTTTATCCTTTCCATGCCTTTTTGTCCCCAATAACTCTCCTCAGGCATTAGTCTCTCAGCTGCTTCTTCTTCAGTTTGTCTATTAAAAAGAGTCTGAAAATGCATTTATATTAAGGTACAAGTCACTGATAATCACTGTCCTCCCAGGAATGTTTTGGGTTTTTTTTTTTTTGAGAAAATAAAACATACAATGAAATAAATTTGTAATGGTGGCTCCCACTAGCTTGTGATCTTAGATGATACGTTATTAGGTAGCTAAGGGTAGAATAAAATCCCTTCCAGCCCCCTGCATGTGTGTGTGTGTGCATGTGCACACACACACAAAGGCAGCTACAAATGGGAGCAAGTTTAAGATGAACTGGCCACTCTTACAGGACCTCTTTCCAGAAGGATTGTTTTCTAATGCCAATAAGAACAAATGATGTGTTGGGAGAGCACGGGCTCTCTTCAACTTACACATTACATTTTGGAAACAATGAATCCCATCCTCACCACCCTCATCATGCCTGGGTTGGACAGGTGCCTTCCATTGATCCTTATCGCTGTTCCTGCAGCACCAGGTTGTGAGTATGCATTCTTTATACATCAGATATGGACTTTCCAGGTCCTTGCTCCTTCCTGGACATTAGGAAACTGTTCCCACTCATATAAAAACCAGCATCACCAACATGAGCAGCAGACAGTGGAAAGTGTGTTGGCCAGGTGGGAAAGGAAATTTTGGGGGCTCCCGTAACACAGAAATGCACAGGTTGAGAGAGTGCCCAGCCAGGTGACAGAGACCATTGTTTTGCAGAACTGGAACAGGATCACAACAGGATCAGAACTGGAACAGCTGATAGTAGTCCTATCAGCTGGCTCTGGCTCTGTCCTTACTAGCTCAGGGCCTGAGGAAAATCAGGCCTAACAAGCATCAGGCAGCATGCAGGTTAAAAATTAGCAGAATAAAATGGCAGCCCTAACAATTGTGGTTTCCTCCTTGAGCCGACGACACTGTCTCCCTCACTGGGGTCATGATCACTGTCACCGCTGAGTGTAGCACCTAAGAATACGACTGTCAGAGCTGTGCCCATTGGCAAACACCTGGAACCCTAAAAATAAGCCTTTTCTCCTCTCATGTGATTTCTTTGTTGCATATGTCCCATGAAGCTAATAGCAGAAGATGCAGATAGCCAGCCCAACGGACAGATTCATTTTTCCATTGTGAGTGGAGATCGGGACAATGAATTTGCTGTGGACCCTGTCTTGGGACTTGTGAAGGTTAAGAAGAAACTGGACCGGGAACGGGTAAGCTAGTTTAGGCCAGTCCCCTTTCCATCCACTCCTGTCCACACTTGTCCCTTCACTGGAATCAGGCATAGCCTCAATGAGTAGAAAGAAGTAGGAAGAGTCTCCATTCTAAATACTATGAGTAAATTGGGATGGGCTAATATACAGCACAATGATTTGGGTTAGGCCTTTGGAAGAATTTCCTGCCAACAGATGATGGCAGTTTCTTACCTATGGATGTTTTAAAGAAAAAGCAAATCTGTGTGTTTCTGGGTGGTTTGAATTTTGGCCCCTCCAAAACAAGGAGGCAAAGAAGCATCTTGAGCATCAGGATCCTGTGGTCCCAGTTTCATGAGCAGGTACAAAAGGATCTTCTAAAGGTATCCAGGTCAGAGAGAATGGTTCGGAAAATCTCTGTCCAAGGTTATACTAAGTTTCTAAACATTATCTTCTTTGGCCAAAAAAAAAAGTCTTCAGAGAAAAATTAAATATGGAAAAAAGGTGTTCTAGTGGTGATGCTAAAAAGCAGAAAGACCTCATTGGATGGTATAGTCCCATGATTCCCGAAGTATCAAAACTTGTAGGATAGATCAGTGTTGACAATGGTTATGTCCGAACAAAGGTCAAGAGCTGTGGTGCTAACCAGGAATGGTTTTGCCCCCCATATATTTGAAGGCATTTTCAGTTGCCAGATTGGCGGGAGGTGATAATGGCTTCTGGTAGAGACCGGGGCTGCTGCCAAATATTTTACAATGCACAGGTCAGCCCCCAACAACCAGGAATAACATGGCTCTCAATGTCACTGGTGCCAAGGTTGAGAAACTCTGGTTTAGAATCAGAGTGAAGGTGGCTGGACTTCAACAAAGCAGAGCAGAGCCTGCAGCATTTCTCAGTGTGCACAGAAGAAAGAAGGTGCTGCACTTCTTTACCGTCAACCCTTTGCACTTTGACAGGTGTCTGGATATTCCCTGCTTGTCCAGGCAGTAGACAGTGGCGTTCCTGTGATGTCGTCAACTGCCACTGTCAACATTGACATTTCTGATGTGAATGACAACAGTCCGGTCTTTACACCTGCTAACTATACCGCTGTGATTCAGGTGAGCAAATCTTGCCTGTCAGGCACTTGTCTTTATATACTCACCTTCATTTCTCTGCTGTGGTTTACTTGTCATGGTTTGTTTGTTTTTTTTTAACCTAATATCAACTCATCTAGTCATAGAGTTGGTATAAAAAAAAGCTGATTCTTCTACTGCAACTGATTAATAAACATTAGTAAGTGCTATCACCAATGGGATTCTTTAAAGTGTCAGGTGCTTTCCATACACCGTCTGTCCCCACCACAGCCCCACAAAGTGGGGTGCTGGATCCGGCCCCACTTTACAGCACAGGAGCTCAGCATCTGAGGAGTTAAGTAGCTAAGTGGTAGAGTCAGGAATAGAACTCAGATTTGTCTTCGGCAAAAAGTATTTTCTTGCCACGGTGAAGACTGCCTTTAAGGCACTTTGTGTTATGCTGGCATGAGAGGGACATTGCTACAAACAGTGGTATCAGTTGAAGGAAGTCTGGGCATCAGGCTAGAGCCACTACTCACTAGTCTCTCTTCCATAAATAATTTGTTTAGCACTTTAAATCCACTAACTCTTTAAAATTAGACTGCAGGATAGAATGACTTACTGCTCATATTCTGCAATCAGAATGACTCTTTCCCATCTATTTTTTTCTTATGCAAAAGATATTTCATGAGCACAGTACTAGGCACTGAGCTACCGCCACTTCCCGATATTTCTAGAATCTGGAAACCTGACTTCAGGAGGATAAGGAAATCCAGTTCAGGAATACTGTCAGCGTGGAGGATTTAGAGGAGACAGGGATTGATATACATGTCTTAGGGAGGCTACAGATATTTTAAAGATGAGCTCTTGCCTGACCCAGTTTGGCCTCAGAATCACCCCCCATGGAGCCCAGTGCTTTGTGGGTAGAAGATAAGATGAGAGTGAGGCAGATCTTGAGGGGCCCCTTTGGAATAATACTCAAGACTTTGAGTCCAGCCGTCCATAGCCAGCTCCCCCCTGCACCACTGAGCTGTCCGGGAATCAGACCGAGGGGCCGTCGTAAAGCCAGCAGCTCTCTGCTTCATTCCCACCCTTGTCGATGAAACCCAGTTGTTTCACCTGGTGGTATTTTGGCTTTCCTCTCCTGTCTGATGCTTTTTCCAGCAGCTGTGCATTCTTATATCTCTCCTGCTCCCACATAGCTTCATGCAGGGTCTACAGCTCCCTCCATCCCTCCTCCTCTCAGACTGCTCTTCTCCATGACTGTCATCACCGTCACCCTCCCTGCCGCTCTCCACCTCAGTGAGCTCGCCCCTAAGCAAAGTGGGCTTTGCCTACTCAACATTCAGTTTGATGACACACATCCATCAGCTTGACAGACTGCTTTCACATGCACAACAGGAAGTCAGCAGTGAGAAGACCGAGAACCTCCACCCGTGGGCAGTGACCGTGGTTCATGTCTGCAGCACTAGGGCCTGTCTATGTTATATTTCACCCTTCTTTCTCAGCTAGTGCCCCTAGGACACACATTCTCTCTCCGCCCCATCCCTGCCTTCTATGGAGGAAATAGCCTTTATAGACTGAGCAAAACAAATCAATGAATCTTCTGTTTTGTGTGGTGCTGAGTGTGCTGTCAATGTGAAACAGTAAATCCATGCCGGGCGGAGGCAGTTCCATGACTGATTCCTGAGGAAGACTATGTATAGGTCCCAATGACCAAAAAGCAGCTGGAGGGAAGGAGCAAAATAAGGGGTCTTTGAGGTCCTTCTCTCTTTCTCCTTCAAAAAGTATTTCTCCTTGTTTTCAACCAAGACTAATTTTCTTATTCCAACACATGGTTTTTATAAGACTAATGCAGCACATACAGTGAGAGTGTGTTGCCCCGTTCATGACTCTCCTCCAAACATCAGTGTATCATTGTCTTCATCTCTGTGACCCAAACCCATTTAATCCTAAATTGATGCTGTCAGAAGGCCTGAACTAATGAAACTGACTTTAGGCCCAAGCTGTGATAATGCTGAAGTCTAAACAGAGTGAGGCCAGGGACCCCATGCCTGAGCTACAGAGGAATTTAATATGGCATTTTAAAAGTGAGGATAACCTTTGAGCCAAGAAAGAATGTGTTTCTATTTTGGGGGAAGGGCAGAGAGGTTCTGCAAAATAATGCTTGCATAATAACATCGGGGCTTCTAAAGATACTGATGAAGTTAGGATTTCCTTCTCTTCATGCTCAACTTCATTCTACCCTCCTTCCCTTTCCTCAAGAAACATGGCAAAACTGTGTTCTGAGGGCTGGGGTGTAAAACCCATTTTCTGCCTGGCATATGCCTTTGTACATTTACTGGGAAGTTGCCAAGATGTCCCCTCTGAAAGTCCAGTGCTGTGACATTGCACCACAGTGTTGGGCGTCAGCATGATCATGTTGTGACAAATGTGAGAAAGTGCCTTCCCCTCCCAGAAGGTTGATGTTTTCTTGGCCTGAGAGGATTTTTGACGTAATCACAAATGCCAGTGAGCACCATATATTTCAGAGCTGTGCAGGTGAGCTCAGCACGTTTCCAGTCTATCCAAGGACAAGACGCAGCAACACCATCTTTGGAATCTATAAGCCCATTCAAGGTGAAGTCCTGTGTCCTCACCTGCAGCTCAATGTCTCATGGGGCAGTCATGGGGAGGCAGCCAAGGATAGGAAGCATGACGCTTACAGATGACAGCATATTTTCGGTAGACAAGATGATATCGCAGGGAATCCCTTCCTCTGAAGCCCTTTTCTCCAACACAGCACTGTCAACCAGTAATGATGGGGTTTCTTAAAATGTGAAGAGAGGTGTAATTTTATCTTCCTTTTTAATATACTCTTTTATTCAGGAAAATAAGCCAGTAGGCACCAGCATTTTGCAGCTGGTGGTGACAGACAGAGACTCCTTTCACAACGGGCCTCCCTTCTCATTCTCTATTTTGTCGGGAAATGAGGAGGAACAGTTCGTGTTGGACCAGGATGGGGTCCTGCGGTCAGCCGTGGTCTTCCGGCACATGGAGTCTCCAGAATACGTGCTGTGTGTCCAGGTATGGCCTCATTCCTGTCCATGTCGGGCTGGCTTTCTCTCAGGCTGGTTTCTGTGCCCCATTGGTTTGGTTTCTCTTTACTGAGCGAGTCAACGTAATTCATTATCATGCAGGAATGTTCCCCTTTTAATCTCAAATTCAATTTCACACCAATAAAAGTGGCCTCTGTGTGTGAAATTGAACAGGAAAGAAGGGAAGCATCATAGTTCAGGAAGGACATTCCTGAGGATGTGCCGGGCAGACAGTCTCAGGGCCTAAATCTGCATTCCAAAAAATCCTGGGGTTCTAATTGACCCCCAAAGACAACTACTTGGTCAAGGATTGCTGCTTTGTACTGAGTCGTATTTGCAGTATTACGCAACTTGGGGAAGCCAGTCTTGGTCCTAAGGTAATTGAGCCAAATCATGGTCTCTGCTTTTGAAGAAACCTCTGCTTGGTGAGTTTCCTCAATGGGACAAGAGAGAACCAAGCACTCAGCTGGCAATGACCTCCTAACATCCCTGCTCCTTCAAGGTCATTGGCCTGTGTGCAGTGAAATGGGACAAAGAAGCAGAAGTGGCAGGTGTGGAAAGGGTGTGGGCAGGAGCAAGAAATGAGAGAGCACCAAAAAGTTCCTATCTATGAATTTTGCCAGTACCAAGATTTGGGTCCCATCAGAGAAACTGAGTGACTATTTTTATACACAATTCCCACAGAGGGAAACCTGAAGATGTAATTAATGGTGGTAATAATGACCAAAAAATTTTTTATATTTGTATAGCATTTAATTGTGTACATTATTTCTTCTGATGAAGTATGGCTTACTCTGCTCCATGAAACCTTCCAAATTAATGACTTTTGGCTCTGAGCATATCAGTGAATGCTTCAGTTCCACCCATTCCATACAACAATATTATGTAAATAATTTTATATCACAGAGTAGATGCCCAAGGGCAAGGAGAGATTTCCAGGGCCTTCTCACAGGAGCATATAGAGTTCTTTTCCTCTCTTCTATGATTGTCACAGAGCAGATTCACATCTCACACTTGGAAAACACTAAAGAAAGCTTCTTCCTCCCAGTCTCTTATACTACCAAGTCCTGTGTGTTTGCCTTCTTAAGGTCCCTGTGTGCATCAGCTATGTTCCCTTTGCCACCGGCCACTCTATTCTGCATGACCTCATCCCCATGCAGAAGCCTCGTGGGTGATTCCCCTAGCTTCAGCCTCATTCTCTTCTGATCCCTTCCTATATCCCTTCAAATTAATCATTCACTGATTATGTCATTCCCCTAAACCAGGGGTCAGCACATGAAAGCCCCTAGATTACATCATGCCTTTGGCCTGTTTTTATAAATAAAGTTTTATTGGAACACAGCCTCGCTCATTCATTTATATATGCTCTGTGGCTGCCTGTGTGCTGGACTCCTAGCTGAGTAGTTGATAAAGATCATATAACCCCCAAAACCTAAACTACTGTTTCTTACCTTGCCCTTCATGGAAAAGATGTGTCAACCCCTGCCCTAAACTAAAACCATCTGTGGCTTCCTAGTGCCTGGAAATGTGTGGCCTATGGGCTAAATTCTGGCACAGACCCTTTCAGATTCTGAATTTCAGGGTCTTTAGGCAGACATGACTCTCAGTCCTTCTCAGGCCACAAGCCTACTAGTCTATCACTTTATACCCAGCTGCTTCATGTCTTTGTGTCATCTTTCTGGCCTCTGACTTTTGAGTGGACAACATCTGGCTTATACCGTCCAAACTCATCACTGTCCTTTGAGACCCTCCACAGTTTGACTTCAAGTTCAACCTAATTTGTTAAACATATCCTTTTCCATATGGATTTTCCATGTTGGCATCTCTGGTTCACATTGACCATCAAATAAAGCATGTGGTGAGGATAATAATAAAAATAACAACAATCACATTAACTTTCATATAATAAGTACTTCTGTGGGTCAGGCCTGTGCTAACCATTTTGCAATTACAATGTCTCTTAATCCTTGCCAAATGAGAATCCTTTGAATCAAATACCATTTTACTCATATTAAAGATACAGGAATTGAAGCTCAGAGAGAGTAAGTAACTTACTCAAAGCCAGGCATTAGGGAGCTGCAGGATCAAGATTTGAAATCAAGTCTGTGGGATGCTCAAGCCTCTGCTTTTACCCTGCCTTCCACACACAAGTACACATCTCCCCAGGTCCACTTCAGCCCTGCATCCTCAGACGCCCGCCCCAGGATCTAGCCTGTGGGAGAGTGCCCTTCACTGAAGCCCTACAACACCAACTATGTTCATGTTACACGTGGCTGGTGCTCAGTCAAGATCTGTTGTCAGATTTGTTGTTCCATCAATTCTGATATAGAGAAAGAAGACTAAAATGGTTTTATTCAGGCTACTTACTTTTTTCCTTCAGTGTACCATTTTTTATTCTAAACTTTAACTTTGCGTAATTTCCACTTAATGTTGCTTCTTAAGTATGTGGGAAGATGCCATCTTGTCCAATCAAAAGGAAAAAATTTGAAGAAAACAAAAATTTTCCTTCCATGCTAGCCTGGTAGCTCAGTTGGTTAAAGTGTCTTCCTGATATATTAAGGTTGTGCATTTGATCCCCGGTCAGTGCACTTGCAAGAATTAACCAATGAATGCATAAATAAGTGGAATAAGAAATGAATGTCTCTCTCTCTCCCTGCTCCTCACTCTCTCTAAAATCAACACATAAAAATTAATTTTTTTTCTTCAAGAGAGAATGCTAGTTCTGTGCAAAATGAGAATAAGACCAGTTTGTTTCAGGCAGGTTGGATCTCATAGCACCCTCTAGCCTCTATCACTGCTCCCCCCCCCCCCCGCAGGCTCTATTGTGTTGATACATGTCATTGTCTATAGCAAAGTGTACAGATGGGGACTGAAGGTGATAAATCACTCCTCTTACTTAAATGCACATCTTCAGCATTTTTCAGACTAGTGGCAGGGGATAAAGGAAGAAGTGAATGTTGTAAAAGGAGCAGATGTCCTCTGAGTTTTGTTGTTTTTTTAAATGATTATGATTTTTTTTCTTAGTTCCTTGCCTTTCTGCCTCTTGATTATTTCAGGCAAAAGACTCAGGCAAACCCCAGCAAGTTTCTCACTCTTACATCCGCATACGGGTCATTGAGGAAAGTATCCACAAGCCCACGGCCATCCCTCTGGAAATTTTCATTGTCACCATGGAGGATGACTTTCCTGGTGGAGTCATTGGGAAGATCCACGCCACAGATCAAGACATGTATGACGTGCTCACGTTTGCCCTGAAATCGGAGCAAAAAAGCTTGTTCAAAGTGAACAGTCATGATGGGAAAATCATCGCCCTGGGGGGTCTGGATGGTGGCAAGTATGTCCTGAATGTGTCGGTGAGTGATGGTCGCTTCCAGGTACCCATTGATGTGGTCGTGCATGTGGAGCAGCTGGTGCATGAGATGCTGCAGAACACCGTCACCATCCGCTTTGAGAACGTGTCCCCTGAGGACTTTGTGGGGCTGCACATGCATGGGTTCCGGCGCACCCTGCGGAACGTGGTCCTCACCCAGAAGCAGGACACCCTGCACATCATCAGCATCCAGCCCGTAGTGGGCACCAACCAGCTGGACATGCTGTTTGCAGTGGAAATGCACAGCAGTGAGTTCTACAAGCCGGCCTACCTGATCCAGAAGCTGTCCAATGCCAGGAGACATCTGGAGAATGTCATGCGCATCTCCGCTATCCTGGAGAAGAACTGCTCTGGGCTGGACTGTCAGGAGCAGCATTGTGAGCAGGGCCTGTCGCTGGATTCCCACGCGCTCATGACCTATAGCACAGCTCGCATCAGCTTTGTGTGTCCGCGTTTCTACAGGAATGTGCGGTGCACCTGTAATGGTGAGTGTGGTTTAGAGTGCCCTTCCACCTCACCTTGTGAGATTTGTGTAGACTGGGTTACCATTCCTGGTAAACGTGCATTTGTCCATTCACTCATTCAACAAAATATTTACTGACTACCTATTATGTGTCTATCAACTGTGAGAGATTCTGGGGCTGTTAGGGTAACAAGACAAGCTCATCCCCCGCTCCCATAGAGCATACAGCTTATGAACAGCACAGATAAACAAACAGGCTAGCTGGAGCACATGCAGTAAGTATTGTTAGGACAAGTACAAAGTCCTTCAAGAGGACCCAGTCCAGAGGGAAGATTTCCTAAAGGGAGTCTCTCTAGGCTGAGACAAAGTGCAAGGAGGAATTAGACATGTGAAGGCAGGCAGGGGAAAGAGAGCATTCCAGGTAGATGGGTACCTGGTATGAGGAAGGCTTAAGGGCAAGAAAGGAACCTGCACTGAGGGGATTGAAAGAGATTTCCTGTCACTGGAAGCAGCCAGGAGTGATGACAAATGAGACTTGTAAGCAAGCCGAGGACCACACAAGGGTTAGCCAGGATGAAGATTTTAGAAATGATCCTGGGGCAAAGGGAACCATTGGCTGAGGTGAAAGAAGAGGTGACAGGACTGGCTCCATCTTTCACAAAGAGCATGCTGGCTGTAGAAGGGGATGGATTAGACCAGGCCAGGTCAGAGGCAGGGAAACAAGTTAGGAAGCTATTGCAGAGGGCAAGTCAGTTAGATTTGCTTCAGTGAAAAACAGGGGCCAGATGTCTGGGGGCATAGTGAAGGGATGGATTCAGCCCTCAGAGCAGCAGAGACGGAATGCTTCATGTTTGTTGATGTAACTAGAGCCACTGAACCTTGACCTTCCCTGGTCAGAGGCCATAACTTCACAGAGTGACGAGCCCACCATGGTCAGCGAGAAGCATTGCTCCCTCCCTCCTTTCCTCTCTTTGACATGTGAAGCCATAAATTCACTGCCCTCTTCTAAGAAAATTGCACCCAGAGCCTTTCTAGCCAGTGTGAACTTAGCCCAAAAGGACTGTAGCCAGAAGAAAGGCCATTTGTAAAACATCCCCATAGGTAATTAGGGACAGGCAGGGCCCATGGCCTCGTCCCTTGGAGGAGGTTCTTGGTTGCAGTTTGGAAAATAACCTCATCAGAGAAAGACTACAGGGATCATAGTTCCCTTTAAGAGACATTTTGACAGCCTCCAAGCAGCCCAGACGAGTTCTAGCTGTACCAAGTGAATTCTGTTTGTGTTTTCATCAGGTACAGGAGTGATGTCTGACCTGTTGAAGATGTAAATTAGTTCCAGAATAACTCAAAGCATGCACACTAGGTGCAATGCCTTTCTGGCAGATGCCACCAACATGCAGGATTTAGGAATGCCAGCTGTCTGGGCCTTACCTAGATTTCTTCTGTAGGCAAACTGATTTATGCACCAAAGCTCTGCTAGGGCCTTGGTTCAGTGCTTCAAAGCAAGGTTCAAAAGGCATTCACCACAGGACAGGGCAGACCCTTCAGGAGAAACCAAACCAGCTAATTAATCCTTTTGCTCTGAAAACTTGTTTCATTCAGCAAAAATCAGTGGCGGCAGCAATGTCCTAGGCACTGAAGAGTCAAAGTGAAAAAAGCACAGTCCCTGCCTTCAGGAGCTGGCTATCGTGCAGTCAGCTTGCAAGTACCTGTTGACAATAAAAGTGTTCTAATCAATGTTAGGGAATAGAAAGGACAAAGTCTCAACTGTGGGCAGAGGAAAGCTTTCTGTGATATTTATGTACCAGAGATCACCTAGGGGCTGGGCCTCGAGGGATGAGTGTGAGTTCATCAAGAAGAGACAGGGCGAGGGCAGACTTAGCAGAATTTCTTTATAGGAGGGATTTAGAGGGGTTGACCTTTGTTGGCGAGAAGGGGGCTTGCTCTGCATTTTACATGAGACACTAATGTTTTAAATGCAGTAAGTTTCAAGGCCGTGTCCTTGCCCAGAACTCCTGTTCTTCAGTCCCCACAAATCTTTCTACTCCCAGTAACTGCAGAATGCTGGATTGTTTTGTGATTCAGTGCCCAGACATCTCACGAGGAGGCTTTGGTTTGAAAAGCAAACATTTCCTCAATGGGAGCTCTGTGCAGACTAGGGTCCACCTCGGAGCCTCTTCTCACCCTCAAGTCACTCTTACAATTAAGCTATAAAATAAAACACTGGATTTTAATGGGGAAAGCACCCCAAAGGGTCATCTGGCCCAGTCTTGTCTTAGCAGGTGATATATGGTAAGTTCTGTTTTATGAATGTGATAGCTCTGTGCCTTGCCCAGGGCTGTACAGCTGGTGAGGGTGGCATGCTGATTCAATAAAGGTAATTTAGGGCCCCTGTTTTATTATCTGCATCTTAAGAGACTTCCATTTTTTATGTGAGTCATAACCCCAGTGCTACGTACTCTGTAGGGATACTCACGTAACCCTGTTTTTCCCAGCAGACTTATCTCCAGACTCACAGTAACCATCTCAGGATGGCAGAGGGTCTCTCAGACTGTGGTGTGCATGGGGCTTCCTAGAAATGCCCATTGCTGAGGCCCACCCTCATGTAACAGGAAGTTCCCTGTGGAGCCTAGAATCTGTATATGTCGCCTGGGTGATTCTAATACTAGCGGTCAGAAAATCAAACTTTGAGAAATCTCACAGCAAGATAAAGTAGAAAAAATTTCCTCCAGGTTCAGGGGGCAAGCTTTTAGATGTAATAGTAATAGCTCTCTCACTTCTTGTAAAGTGCCCTCTTAGATAAAAATACAGTGAAGAACTATTATGGAAAGTATTAGGCATTTTAAGCATCTTTGCATTTATTGGAAGGGAAATGTAATTGAATTCAGTAAATGCCCCTCCCCTCAACACACACACATGCACACAGCTAGCATTGGTTTACCCTGGAAGATTGGCAGATTCATTCAATGGATTTTCCTACCCTGTGGTGGAACAATTAGTATGCTAAGGGATGTATAGTGATATTTGTACAGATTTGCACAAATTTATCCTTTGATATTTATCCCTCTAGTAACTTCTTTTACTCATGCAGATTTTTTGTGTCCAATTAACATCATTAGCCTCTTGAACCAAAATGCCAAGTTGCTCAAAAAAATGAGAGCAAACTTGAATTTTAGTGCCAAATAGGTTCATTAAATTCCAACCACCATCAAGCATCACTTTGAACAGAAGTTCAAGAGATACAAAGTTCTGATGCCACGAGACTGTGCCTCACAAACTTCAGGTGTTCTATAAACATTGGCACTTGGCTGAGAAAACCTGACACTGGCTTTAGCAAATAGGAATGATAGACACCCCTGAGCTCCCACAGGGGCAGTCCATGGGGCTGGGCTGGTTATCTATTTTGGAAATTTTTCACTGATTTTTTAAAAGCCTGATACAGAAATATATCAAAAAGGAGACATTTGTCCAGGAGAATGAACACCCCATGACACCATCAGAGTTTAAGACCAGTACATTTATGACTGATGCTGGAAGTAGAAGCCCAATTTGTCGATTCCTGGTTCAGATATGGAACCCGGAGCTCCAAATCAAATGAATGGAGTGTTTGGGTGATGCTCCGCACCAGGAGGAGGTGACACAGCAGCAGTCACAACTACAACCATAGGCTATGGCACTGTCGTAAAAGTTTGCTTGGGGAGATAGGATGAGCACTGAAGCCCGTTGCTGGGGGTGACACCACCTGAGCTAGGTCTGACAGGGTGCCTAGGATTAGGCAAGACATGGAAAGGGAGGGTTCCTGCCAAAGGAGCATTAGAGCAAAAGAATGGAGGTGAGAAACAGTGCAATTCAGTGCACGGATGAAGGCAGGGACAAACATAACAACTAACATTTATTAAGCCATGACCAGTCACAGTCCTGTTTTTTGAACATTCGCATATATAGTTGCATTTAACCCTCACAATAACCTGAAAGGGCATGTATCATTAACTTTCTTCAAAAGTTTAGGAAACTAAAACTTGGAAATGTTAAGGTCTCCGAGCTAGTAAGTGGCTGAGCAAGCATTCACAGCTGGCAGCCTTTCCCACTGTACCTACTGCCTTACTGCCTCTCCACAGATTTAGAAAGAACTTGAAAGTGACCTAATCCAAACTCCGAACTACTGTAGACATCCTGTCTACATTACTCCTGGCACAGTAATTCAGCCAGCATTTGAATACCATGCCTGGGGCTCACTACCTCACAAGATAGGCCTGAGACAACTTCTCCCTTACAGAGCACCAAAGTCCACCTCTTTGTAATGTCACCCAACTCCATCTTTTAGAGCCACACAGAATCTCACCTAACTCCTCCTCTGCAAGCTGCCATCCAGATATCTAAGAGTAGTTATTGTGAGCTCTTGCACCAGCTTTTCCTCAACAAACAGCAGAAGTTCCTTAAACAAATAGGAGCTATAAAGTATCATAAGTGGGGCACAGAAGAGACATAAAGGAGGTGTCCTCACTCCTATTAGAGAAGTCCATGAGAGGCATTGGAAGCAATGCAGCTGGTCCTATTGGGTCTTTGCCAGACAGGGAATGAATTTTAAGGAGCAGTGAAGAGAAAGGTCCAGGTATTTGGGCCCCTTTTCCTTTGCTCATTCACTCTGCATTGAACTGAATATTATGCCAGACCCTGGTCAGGGTGCTGGAGAGATACATGGTGAATGAGACTGATATGTTCCCCATCCTTATGGAGCATGAACCAGCAGTGGACAGACAACAAGGAGCTCAGCCTGACTGGATGGTGAGGAGTAAGGACGGTCCTGGGAGGAATGTGGCAGGACAGGTAAACAGCCTGTGATAGGTAGGCAGCCATGGCAACATGCTCCTAATAAGCACAATAAAATAAAATGATGAAGGCTTCTTTGAGGCAGTAAGACAGGTAAAAGTTAGCCTTGTGCTTTTTTAAAAAGCAAAGAAAAACCTGCGATTGCGTTTGCTCTTGGGCTGGGGATTGGTAACGCTAATTCTTAGAAGAGAACCA